GTTGAAGTCCACTCATCTTAAAGTGGCCAAGTTTGGACAACACTGATCTATGTGGTTGCTAAGGGGTAACACCGACTTGATGGCACATAATCAATTTTAATCCTTTGAAATTAAAATTGTATGCAGGATAATTTAACACTAAGTTAGTGATCAGTAGACATCAAAGATTTCTTTTTTGGAGATTTACCAATGTTAATAGAAACAAGGCAACCAGTTATACATATCTTTTCTGTTTTCATAATATAGCTATTTTGTACTTAACCCCAAATTTATTTATATCATGTGCCTTAAATGCTATCATTTGTCTTATTTCAGAAAAATTGAAACTGTAGTGCTTCTGTCATAATTTTCCGAGCTGGTTTATTGTGTTTATTTATTTGAATTATTTGTGGCCGATGTTTGTTGCTTTTTTGTACATTTGTAAGCATACACTTGTTAATGTTTTAAAATTACTTGCTTTTTTATTTATTTTTTTATTACAAAATGATGGTATACAAATACCAAAATTAGTAATTAAGCAAAGAATGATAGTTGGCTGTGAAAATTAGGCTTTCTGGTTGATAGTCTATGTAGTACTGTATTTGTTTTTCTGTGCTATCTGGAGATGGGCTATTGAGGAAGAAACATGCCTTTGGCACAAGCAGCCTGAATTTTCCACAGCAGAGCCATAATCTGAAATTAAGGGCAGAAATGGTGTGAGAATATAGTATGCAGAACACTACTCATTTTAGAAATTAATTTTTGGCAGCAACAACACTCCTCAGCTTTAAAAGCATACTTTTCTATTCATTCTCCCTCCGACAGGATATGCCAAAAAGTTTCTCTCGCTGTGATTTGATGGAAAATCTCCTTCAAAATGGCTGTGCAAATGATTATATAGAGTATCCGGTCAGCAAGACCTACATCCTGGAGGCCAGACCTCTCAGTGACAAAGGATCAGGCAGCGACATCACCCAAATGACCCCACAGAAGATTGAGCTCCACCTGCGGCCAGGTAAAGCCAGATACTCTCTGTGGTTTACCTACAGAAAACCTTTTGTCCAATCCTCACCACCTCTAGAGAAAGAGTAAGAAATAGAGAAGAAAGCATTTGCCTAAGAGTTTGGAGGCCTGCTTTGCTTGAACTGATAATGCTGCCAACATGGTCCAATAGTCTGGGACAACACATGACAGCTTCAGAGCTGTGTTGACTTGAGTATCAGCTGTCTATTTAGGATGGATATAGTAGACTTCTGGCAACAGTAGTCAACTTTTGAGAGCATACTGGAAATCTGAGGACATGTTGCAAAATGGCTGCCATACTGGGTATGTCTAGTCTTTAAACCTCCATTTACTACTGCCCCTTGGCTTTTTTTTGTTGAGCATGTGGGTTCATTTCCTGTCATACATTTGGCTGCAGCCACCCAGTATTTTTATTTTCCATGGATGCCTATAAGGCCTATCTGGTAACTAGAACTGTTCTTGGAAATAACTATTGCTGCCTCGTCTCGTTTTATGTGTTTTTTAACTGTTCGTAATTATGTACAGTATGTTTGGATATTGTAAACCACCTAAAATCTTCTGGAGCGGACAGCCGTAATAAATAATAATAATATTAATAATATTAATAATGATAATAATTTATTATGGATGATGATAATAATAATAATAATAATGGTAATAATATGATCTGGAAAGTTTGTACTGTTTCATGTCAGCTTACCATTTATTGATTTTTATTAAAATAACAAAACATTGGCTGAAGCAAGCAATCTGGCAGTCACCAAAAGAGATGTCTGCAGATATGTTTGTGCTTGGTCACCATGTTGCTTAGCCCTGATCTGGAATATTGATCCCATATGGCCAGAAATGTCAATCATGGGAAAGAGAATGGTGCTTGTTTGGATTACTTTATAATAGCATAGGCCTGTGGCAATGTGACTTAGTAAATCAAGCATTTGGAAAGGAGTCGGCTAGGCTGAAATCCTTTAGAAATCATGTCTCAGCCCTTATCCGCATTTTGCTATTTCAGATGATTCCCAAACGTTCTCAATACAAGTGCGCCAGGTGGAGGATTATCCTGTGGACATCTACTATCTAATGGATTTGTCTAATTCTATGAAGGATGACCTCCGTAATATCCAGAACTTAGGTACCAAGCTAGCCATGGAAATGCGCAGAGTGACCAGCAACCTGAGGATTGGTTTTGGAGCTTTTGTGGACAAACCCCTGTCCCCTTACATGTACATTTCTCCTCCAGAGGCCATCAAAAACCCATGCTATGAGTAAGTTCTCTAGCCAGAGGAAACACTGATGATTCTATTTTTGTTAAACAAACCTGTGTCCCCCAGCTGCAATTGGAGTTAGCTCCCATCACCTTCTGCCAACTTGGCCAAAGGTCAGAGATGATGGGTGTTGCAGTCTAGTAGCATCCCAAACACCTCAGATTTCCTGTCTCTAATGCAACATTTTATAATCTGGAGTTCTGAAGATTGCCAAATATGTATTCCTGTTCCCTCCTCATTTTAAATATGTGCAGATAGAACGAAATATTTCTTTCTCAATATCATGTAAAATCTAGAGAGTGGTGGGTGGAAATGTGAGCTTTATTTTGTTTTGTTTTATTTAATCAATTTGTATAGCTGCCCATCTGAACAAGTGACTCTGGGCAGTAAGCAATGCCAAGTAAAAATAAAAACAATTACAACCATAAATACAAAAATTGAAATGCATAGCAGCCAAGGAAAACACCACAATTAACACTAATACAGCTAGGAGGTGGGTCCCTTCACACACTCAGGGCCCCAGACCCAGGCCCAGACCCAGATCTTTAGGGCCTTATGAAAGGCCAGCAGGGTTGGGCCTATCCTAATCTCCAGAGGGAGAATGTTTCATAGGGTGGGCATAACAGCAGAAAAGGGACACCTTCTGAGCCCTGCCAACCAGCATTTCTTAGCCAATGGGACCCGAAGCATGTCCATCCTGCTGGGCCAGATCAGATGGATAGAAATAAACAGGTAGAGATGGTCCCTCAAGTAACCCGGTCCCAAGCCATGAAGGGCTTTAGAGATGATAACCAGCACCTTCAATTACACTAGAAGCATACTGGCAACCAATGCAGCTCACAAAGTTGTGATGTTACAGTAACCAGGGTCATTGACTACTTGTGCTGCTGCATTCTGCACCGGTTGAAGCTTTCAAATGCTCTTCAAGGGCAGCCTGATGTAGAGTGCATTGCAGTAGTCTTTCCTCCCCACTTCATTTTTTTTTTTTTTGAGCCATCTTTCATGAGCCTATTAATACTGGGCATGGTGGTATGTAATCCTCTTGTAGTTCTAATAGATATGAGTCTTTGGTGTGGAGGAGCAGGAAGGGAAACCACTTGTCTGGCAAAGACCATCCATCAACAGTATTGGTGTACTGCATTATACTTATAAGTATAGGCATCCATTGATGGCCACAATGATGAAAAAGAATGAACCATGTACCATGACATCATAATGGAAGCCCCACTCTTTCATACTTGCATCCCAATATTGTGATGTCATGAAGAATGTTTAATCACTTAGCCCCTCCCCCGGTTCATCCTTTTTTCATCATCATGGCTAACAGTGGATACCCATGCTTAGAAAAAAATAACCCAATCACTACAATCATGATTCACTAGTCCTAGGCATGCTACTCAATTCATTGCAGTTTACTTCCTACACATATAGGGCTGTGTTGCTAATCTTTTCTTCTCCAGAGTAAATAGTAGCTGGGTTCCTCCTTAGCTATTTCATCTACTTATTCTTGACTCTCATGGCAATGAACACTAATGTATCTATGAGGGCACTGCCAAACTTCCATCTGCTGTTGGAAACTACTGTGAGAGAGGGAAAGAGTTGGGTTAAGGAGATTTTATCTGCAGCTCAGCTCAGGAGAAATTGATTGAGTTGTGTAGCTGGGAGGGAGTGAAACTTGAGGCCAATGGCTATGCTAATTTCTGTGGACTTCCCTGGGTTTTTAGTTTTCTATTCCCTTTCCTAAGCTTTATCTGTTGTCTTTTAGCTTGCCCCCACCAAATGACCACTGCCTGCCAATGTTTGGCTACAAGCATGTCCTAGCTCTCACAGATCAGGTCAAGCGTTTCAATGAGGAGGTGAAGAAGCAAAGCGTGTCTAAGAATCGAGATGCACCTGAAGGAGGATTTGATGCCATCATCCAAGCAATTGTCTGTGATGTAAGAGCCAGTCCCTATCATGATCAGCAGGTTTATGGGGACTGAGAAGAATTTCTCAACAGATCATGCATGTTTGGTGCCAGTTAAGTGTGTGAAAAAGTGTCAGTTGGATTTCCCATTGGGGGCATTCAAAAAGGCATGAGTTATTTTGTCTCCTGAACATCGATATGTTTATCAGAAGTCAACCATATTTAGGCTGTCACGTCTAGTAATTAAAGGGACAGGAGGAACATCCCCCAACCCAAGAGTCAGCCTGCCTGCCTTTAAAGATCTGGGTTCCCCCTGCCCCCCAAGTATTGAGTGTGGGAATGGGTGACCTGCTGGATGAGTTTTTCTTTCTTTCTTCCAGCACTTATGTGTATCCATTATTTTGCATTGTGGCTTTTTACATTTTGTTTTATTATATGATCCTTATTGGTTTTTACTATCAAATCTAACAATAATTTTTTAAAAAAGCCACGAGTCAGCCCCATGCATCACTTCTTTTCCACCATTATATATTCCAGCTTTAAAGAGTTAACTAATTTCCACTGATTTCTTTATGAGTTTCCCTTCCCTTCCCTTCCCTTCCCTTCCCTTCCCTTCCCTTCCCTTCCCTTCCCTT